CCATAATATATAATAATAAATAAATAAATAAATAAGCAAACAAATTAATATATCATTTCTTTTACCTTACTGTAATGTATCATAGAAACTTACGTCTTTCTCAGCAGTGGCATTTGGTTAGGTTTTTGATTTTTGCGTGCCTTTCTAGGCACTGTGCGAAAAACGACGAGGTAACTAGCCTCTGGTTACGCTCTGCTACTGCAGAGTTATTACTCAGCTCAAGGGCCCTAGTAGAGAGCTCGCCTTGAAGCGAGTGAGTGAAGAAAAAGCTTGCGTCGACGCTCTTTTATACAGCGTCGATTCTCGATTGTGAGAAAGACTTACACCGCCTGCGCAACCTGATGGTGTATCTGTAGGCTCAGGTCTCGGCTGAGGCCCTGCGGTGCGTAGCAGCGCCGCGGTGTACTATGCCGCTTCAGTGCAGCGGTGTGGCGGTATGCTCCCACAACACGTATAACAATAACAGTTATAGGAACAAATAATTAATTATAACAATTATTAATATTTTCAAATAATAACTAATATTTTGTGATATTTATGATTTTTCACTTTCGGTCATTTTTCGGTGATTTACCATTTTTATAAATATTGCACGACACCTTTTGAAAATAACCTTAAATTAATTCCTATCTCATGTTAATTATTTATATATGTATACCCAAATAAACCTAATTTAATTCTTCCCACCCTTACAGTACTTATCAAAGACAGGTTATTTCGAAGAATTCTGCTGAGTACCTGCGTGAGATTTTATCGACCGCTACTGTAAACAATAACAAATTAGAAATGCAGTCATATACATTGTGATTTTTGTTTGGTGGAATCGGACATGATTGAATAAAGTTGAAGTTATTTCCAAACAATATGTAATTGCAGAATGTAATTTAGGTTACATTGAAATCAAGCATTTTATGTACATATACATTGACCTACACTCGCAAAGCGTTAACAATGTTTATTTCTTTGCGATCGAATTGACATTAATTCCGCAGTTATCATAAACAAATTATTATCGTCCGGACGATACACACAGTGTGTCGGAAAAAAAATCTAACTTTTCGAATAAAAAACCTATTATTCATTTTGTCAAGAATCAAAACGTTTATTTGATGTATGTTTCATCTGCATCGATACAACGCTGGGCACGCTGAATCAACGTATGTATGGATTTGTGTAAGTCCGTTTTTGGTATAGTCTCGATGACCTTCGAAGGTTTGTATAACTTTAATGTTGTCAATGTTCTTTTCATCGCCATTTTCAGGACAAAAAATAATCGTGCGGTGATAAATTTGGCGAATACAGTGAGTGCTGAATGACGCACACTCGTTTTTTGGCTAAAAATTTGTGACTGTCTTTTGAGGCAGTGTATTGTCATGCAGCAAGTATTAATTTTCGACATTTTAATCTAATTTTAATGATTCTCCGGGATAAAGTTCCGAATAGGTGAAACGCCCAATTTTTTTTTAACTGCACTATTTTATGTATTTTGGCGCGCTGATTACGAATATGACAATGAAAATCGCCGACAAGGTCATTTTCAAGGTCAAAACTCCAAAAAAAGTGAAAAAATATCACTTTTTTGAGATTATTTCGAGAAATATTGATGTAACGAAAAAATGTCTCAAATAAAAGTTGTAGTTCTTGTAAAAATACATTATTTATGTTCTATGCATTTTTTGTGTAAAACTGATAATTTTACGAGAAAATTGACGTTAAAGATTAAAAACTTTGGTAAACAGGTAGGCCTTAGCTTGCATGCGCATGCCGTTCAAGAATGTAGCGGCGTGTGTGCGTATACAATTTATGTATATTTATTACCATAAGTCTTTGCCTTGCTAAAAATCTAATGAATCTACAATATACTAAAAATACTAGATACTGAAAAGATTAGCAAGACCCCAACGCAAAGTGTGTGCGCGCAGAAAGTTTATATGAATTAAATCTTCGCCTTACTAAAGGTATGATGAGTCTACAATATACTAAAAATATTTGATACTGAAAAGATTAGCAAGACCCCTACGCAAGGTAGAGAGCATATTGTGTTTCAAAGTTATTTTCTATAATAGACACTAGCTATGTAATAGGCGGGAGGAGAGGCTCTGCCCTTCCCCCTGCACCCCCCTCCCGCCTGCATCCATTTCCGCCTCGGGGCGGAGCCCCTCGAACCCCGTCGTTCTATCCTACTTACCTAAACGTTTTAATTACTTTAACGTCTAACTTTCTTCGAAACTATCAGTTTACTACAAAAAATAGCATAGAACATAAATAGATGTATTTTACTAAGAACTACTAACTTTATTTAGTAACTTTTTTAGTTTACATCAATATTTACTACGAAATAATACTCAAAAAGTAGATATTTTTTCTACTTTTCTGACCTTGTTTTGACTTTGAAAATGACCTAGTCGGCGATTTTCATTATCATATTCGTAATCAGCGCGCCAAACTACATAAAATAGTGGAGTTTCAAACAATCGGGCGTTTCACCTATTCGGAACTGCACCCATTCTCCGTCACAAATACTCTCAAGTAGTGTCGCCAGACGTGCATATTCTGAGCTCCGCACGCATACAAGGAGACGTCCGTGTGTGTTCGGCCGTTCAATTAATAAAAGAGAGCAAATCGTCTTCTTTCTCCGCTGACAGTCAACTCAATAGGACCGAGAGAGAAGAAGACGGACGTGGTCTTCGGATGCGTGTAGAACCCAGAATATCGTCTGGCGACACTGCTCCCAAGTAGTACTTGACAGTGACAGTTTCACCTTTAGAAATGAATACACGATAAAAGATGCCTTTCAAATCGCTTGACTTTGGATCGTTATTAATGTCTTGCTTCTGTCTTCAAAATGTTTGCATTATATAAAAACTTGTATAAGCGACGGACAATTATTGTGATAAATTTGACGCATCAATTCAAACGTTTCCGTAAATATATTACCAAGTTAAAACAAAGTTTAAACCAAGTTTAAAACAAAATGTTAAAACTTAATGTTTGCGCATTGTGTTATCGTGATGATGTGATAAATAGTACTGTTATTTCAAACCGCATATTTCCAAAACTACTTGTCTGTTTTTGACAAAATTTCGACAGATGGTAGACGAGATATGTATACTCAAATGTCATTTGTTAAATATTAGATTGCACTGCTATTTTTGCAAGAAAACTAAAGTCTGATTTCTTTTTCGATACACTGTGTAGGTTTGTTACATATATATTGAATAAATAGCAAATAGCACGATACAATTAACTCTTTTATTATGTATTGCTATAAGTCATAGATATGAATATTCACGGTAAGTAATTTATTGCCTAAATAATTAATTTTAGTTATATTTTTTATTATCATGAGATCGATATCAGGTTTTTCTCATTACTGAATGCGCAAATCTCGCTATTTTTTATTATCATATGAGATCGATATCAGGTTTTTCTCATTACTGAATGCGCAAATCTCGCTTGAAAGAATATGGAGTTTTCTTTGCGTTTATTTTGTAAAATTTATTTAGTTTTAATTTAATTTATAGGTTGAACAGATTTCGTCACACATATGCGCGGATTTAATTCTATCATTCACATACTCTTTCTTCTTTAAACCAATTCAGGTTGTTGTTACCACTCTCGCATATTAATTGTCTTACATTTACATTATGACATTTTCTCAGTTGCACTCATATGTCTTTATAATTCGTCTGCACGTCTTACACTTCACGTAGCAGCAGCTGATATACTTGCAGTCACATCTCTCCAAGATCTCTTGAGTTCTGATGATATGACTACGACCGCAACATAGGTACTCGCAACTTTCGTATCCGGAACTACTGCCATTACATTGCCTGCAAAATTTATTTTATATTTATAATAGTTCTTAGAAATATTTATAATATTAAATTATATTTTTAAATTTTTTTTACAATATTACGCTACTTTTTTTAATATCTTACTATTTATATTTTATTGTATTTATATTGTATTTATATTTTATATTTGACTATAAATAATTTACATTGCAATAATATTTTCTATATATACAATAGGGTGTTCTATGATTCGCACGTCAAAATATTATAGCAGAAATGTTCTCAAAATTGTTTTTGCAATTTATTAATCTAAACCAGTGCTCAAAATTAGTTGCTCATTTCGAGCCGATTCCCGAAACAACGCCTCCTATTCTTCCACTACCGCTCGACGCTCGAGCAAACGCTGCGCCCGAGCTGCTGACAGCGCGTCTAATGTTTTAACTCAGGACAGACATTTTTAATTAATTATTATTAATAATTATTTATTATGAAAACAGAAATTATTTCTGTAGCGAGGAAAATATTAATAATGATATCATAGAAGCTACAGGTCCTAGCTGCTTATCTCTTATACAATAGACGTTCCTGAGTTAAAACATTAGATGCACTGTCGGCATGCACCGACGCGTCTGCTCGAGCGTCAAGCGGTAGTAGAGGAATAAGAGGCGTCGTCTTGGAAATCGGCTCGAAATGATCAACTAATTCCGAGCACTGATCCAAACAATAGTTTTTGAAAAAAAAAATTAAAAATTAATCAATCAAATTCTATGGTTAAGTCGCTTGTCTATAAGTCCATGACAAACTGTCATATACACGACTCAAGGATAAGTTTATATTTCAAAAACTGAATTAAAATTGGATTGAAAAAGTTTTTTTATTTAAAACATACAATAATTTTTTATTTAATTTTTTGAAAATTTTCCTGTTATAGTATTTTGATTCTGTACGTTCTGTATAAATAAATAAATAAATAAATAAATATATACAGGGTGTCAATTAAGTCCCGGGACGGCTAAATATTTTCTCATGTAAGGTATTTTTGAAAAAGGTCAAGGTCATTTCTGAAGTAATTTTTAACGAGGAATTCAACGGTGACCTTCAATTTGACCTTGAGCTTGACCTTCAAGGTCATTTCAAGGTTAGGTTAGGTTTTTAAATAGAAACCCCTATTTTTGATTCCAAAATCTAATAGCTGGTGTCAAGAGCTTTTCAAAACACTATA